AATACTCACTAACAAAGGTGCTGGGAGGAATAAATTCATTAATGTTTGTGATGCTCTCAGTTACTTAGTTACATAAATAAGATCTGAGGAAATCAGATAGTAAACACCGGGCATGCACAACAATAGCAAAGCTATAATATAACATTATTTGAAACATACACAAATGTGAAAACATTGCCAAACTTTTTAATATATAATTTTTCCGTCTTTTCTAAATTGAAGAGACTCCAACAGACACTTCCTTTCATATCTGAGGGCAGATGATTCTAGCAATTAGTTCCCCTGTTGAGAAAAGGCTGTTCCCCCATATCTGCTTTCTAGCCTTAGGGCACCTGAAATTAATGGAACTCTCTTCATCATAAATCATACATACTCTGTAATGCTTTCAAGGAATGCTTAATGTGTTTGGGGAGTTTACATAATGAACCTTCCTTCATAAAGGTGAACTGCTACAATATGCTCCCTTGCTAAAAGTCTGATATTAACCTTGGTGTATGGTATATATGTGCATGCATAAATTTGTCCAAAGTTTGAAGCTGTCAGTGGCATATCCATGCCCATAAATCAACCTTTGAAATGTGTTGTTATATTTAATCTTCTGCATATTGTATTTCATTCTACAAGTATTTTTTTAAATTTATTTTTCACAGGTTTTAAAGTTAATATAATTTAGAACTTTGACTAAGCTATGAACTGTGCATGAAAATAATTCTTAATTGTAGGCCTGAGCCAAAATCCATTGAAAAAATTAATGGAAAACTCTCCTTGACTTCAGTGGCCCAATTTCATTGATATCATGCTTACATGACAGGATTATTATGTTAACAGGCAAATAAATACTATTGTATTCTCTACTGATTGACCAAATCTCATTGCAGACATCAGACTTTTTAATCTCTTTATTTTTTTGCAGTGAGCCCAAAGATCCACCTGATCCTGTTGCTGGGGTCAGTTCTGGGCCAGTCTAACTATGGTTCTTGCAGATCTTTCACGGCAGTAAGCCTCATTTTGTTCTGATCTGCCATTCCTGTTCCATGTTCTCTTATCAAGTTCCTCCAGATATACTGCACTAGCTGCAACATACACCTTATGAATTTTATCTCTATCTTGTGCAATACCATCATCCCACACTGCAACTGGCTGCAAAAAGAACAGGAAATGCCAGTCCCTCCTTATTGCTTGTCTGGAAACAGGAAGTTGGTGCCTTATCATTTCTAACTTCCTGTTGACCCAAGGAACGATGGAGACCAGCCTAGGTCTCTGACATCGCACTAGCTGAGCAGATGTCAAGCCTGGCAAACTGCAATTATTTATTGTAGCATCTTCAGAGCTCTTCCTCTTCCATTGCTCTCTAATCACACATAAAAAAAAAAAAAAATAAGGGGGGGGAGGGGCCCCCAAAAGGTCTTTTATACCCCCCCCTGCTCAAAGCAGGACCAATTCCCAGTTAAATCATCCCAGCCATCCTTTCTCAAATCTTAAAAACTGTTACCTATTCCAGATATCAGCCTGAATTCTTGGGGTGTGTTTGTGTGTGGGGGGACATTCTGTCACATTCTCAGCTGTCCATTCTTCCATTTCACTTTGATCTCTCATTGCAGGATTCATCTGCTTTACATATTCCTCTCTGGTTCTCATCTGCTTCTGCACCTTTCTGACACTTCTCTTTTGGTGCTTGTGGATTTTTTACCCCATTAGTTTTTATTAATATTACTAGTTGTCTCTCAGCCCTGCAGAGCTTGCTGTCAGATCTGCACCATTCAGGGTTATTAATCATAATTCCAGTTGCTTCTGTCTGTATGTCTGATTTCATTGTCATGTTCCCCTCTCCTTCAGAGCCCTATGGATACTCTGACAGTCTTTACTGGCTCTTCTCTGTCAGCAACTTTTTCTTGGCTGTCACTTGATAATCGGAGCAACTAATGATAAAACAACATTTTTGACTGCTGCTGACGTCAGCAATGCCCTCATATGAGACCTGACTGGCTCCACAGGCTGTGCAAACCCCTGCTCTGGGAAGAGTCCAGCCTGACTAAACCTTTGGACCAGCTGTTCATGTTGAACAACTCAGCACCTTTTGTCTGATTTAGGAAGCATGGAGATAGATGGTAATCCCATGCCAAAGAAGCTCTCAGTTGGAACACTTAACTGTTGACACATTCATTAAACTGAAATGGTACATAAGTTTTGTAAGATCTCATGTGATTTACCTTCCGTCCTCACCAACACACAGTGAGCCAAACGGGTGGTAGCTGTTTCCCTGTTTAATTCTGACTACAGGTGATGACTTACTTTTTAAAATTGAGCTGTGGCAGAAGGAATGAGTGTTGTGGGGCTTCAGTATATTTTGAGGTAAAATTACTCAGTGTGCTGCCATTATGTCAAATGTTGCACCTCCAAAATGATGTCAGGAGCTCTACTTCAGTAGAGGCCAATGGGTTAGATGACAGAGGCTAATATTTAACCCATTCTTAGATGTTCCTAAGCAATCTTCTCCTGGAATTAGACTAACTGCATGTTCCAGCTAGTCTGTCAAAATAAATCTGTGATCACATTTTGAGGCCTTTGGGGAAAGGAAGCGAGACAAATTCAGATTTGAAATAAGGTACAGTTATTTAACAGTGAGGGTAATTAACCATTGGAGCATCTTACTGAGGGATGTGGTGGATTCTCTATCACTGGCAATTTTAAAATCAAGAGTGGATGTTTTTCTAAAAGACATGCTCTCGTTCAAATAGGAATTAATTCAGGGAAGTCCGAGGGCCTGTATTTTATAGTAAGTTACATGCTCACAGTGGTCCCTTCTGGGATTAAATCTATGAAAAACATAATGTCCCCACCCCATGCCTCACAATCCCTGCAAAATCATAGGCAAACAAAACAAAAACCCCATGGAACAATAGTGAAGGAAATAAATGATCTTTAATGTACTGAACTAAGAAATAGGTGGAAACATCAAAGAATCATCTTGAAAAGTACATAGAACTAGTACAATTATTAATGCTGGAAAAAAGTATTAATAAATATTAGTTCTTTAATATGTTAATATAGTGCATTACTATATCACTGTACACAACTTAATGGCTTTTTGCCATCCTTGGGTCATATTCTGCTTACAGTCTTGAGCTCAATTTCAATTGATGTTATTGGGCTAAATTTTCAAAGGAAAGAACTCCAGCTCAGCCCACAAAGTATTCTTGTAGCTATACAAAGAATTAATGTTACTGAAAAGCAGGTAGTTCCCTTTTATTTGCACACAAATATGCACTTCTCAGTTGCGATGCTTTCTTGGGGTGCCCAGGAGTGAGAGTTATCTTGTTATCCTCCTGCCTCAATGAGAGGAAGATTTGCTTGTGCTTAACTGGATGTCCACTCCCTGACACCACCAGTTTGTTAGCAACCCAAACAATGTCCTGAGGGCTCTTTCAGCTCTTGCTTTGCCTTGCAAGGTTAATAGGAGGTGCACCCCAATCCTCTTTGAAGTGTTCTCTTGTAAAGTCCAGCCCCTGTCACAGGACACTCACAGAAATTACCACCTAAGATGTCCCCAGAGAAACAGTGCACACACCAGCTTGTTTGATTCAACTGAATGAATATCAGCTCCAATATAACATCACAGCACTGAGGTGTGTTTACAGTGAAAACAATCATAAGTTTATTTTCAAAGGCTAAGACTTAAGAGGAGTGAATAAAGACAATGATGGAAACACAAATGATTACATATAAAACAAAAGTATAACATGTTTCTTAGAGCCTAAACTTAACTATATCAGGCTAAAACCGTTGTCTAAAGTAGTTTATCTCACCTAAAGCAATTCCCCAGCTTCTTCAGACAACCTGGCTGGGATCCTCCATTTCATGCATGCAGAAAGTGCTGTACTTTTTGCTTCTTCAGTGAAGGATAACAAAATGTCTTTCCCCCTCCCCCGCTCCTTATGTACTCCAGAATTCATTGTGTTGCTCGCAGAGTCAGGATGATCCCCTATGGTTCATTCCCTGGTGTGCTGGCTCCATGTTGTATGCAAAATGGGGCTCTCACTGTGTTGGCTTACAATGCGTAATCTACTAAGGGAGATACATCTCTTTGTCTGGCAAAAACCTGTTTGCCTAGCCAGCCTGGGACACAGTCTCTAAAACATATTTTCAGTACATACACACACAACTCCTTAAGTATAATCTGTAAGTGCATCTCACAATGATTATGAGTATCAGTATGACATAAGCGCTTATTAGAAACCCCACTTGACCCTTTTTCGGTAAGTGCAATGAAAGCAATGTGTTAGGTGTAGTGAGTTTGTCAGGCCTGTCAAGAGTTACTGTTACAGAACAGTGATCCCTTTGTCAGTTGGCATTGAGGGGTTTTTAGGGTCACATCAGTGAAATTAGTTGTTTGCTCATTCATGCATATGTTTTACTGGCATAATTTAGGTGCCTAGAAAAACTTATTCTTTTTAAGCATTTGCATTTCTTATCTCATGTACAGACTTAGTCGTGGATGGAAAAGCTAAAAATTCTTAAGGGTTTAAAAGCTTAAATGGAAATGATTATTAAGGTGCAGAAATGTTTAGAATTGGGAAATTCTAAAAATGTGGTTTCAGAGTAACAGCCGTGTTAGTCTGTATTCGCAAAAAGAAAAGGAGTACTTGTGGCACCTTAGAGACTAACCAATTTATTTGAGCATGAGCTTTCGTGAGCTACAGCTCACTTATGTGTTAAGTGAAAGATGGGCTAAGGGGCAGGGTTTCAGACTCTAGCCTCCATTTTTGCGGGCATAAACTGTCGTTGCAAAATTGTGTTGGTGGTTACATGTAGCTACAAAAATGGAAGCCCAATAAAGACTGACCTGAAAATTTGGATCTAAAAAAGGACACTAGTTATTAATCATCTTAAGAGATGCAGATTCTATTCTCCTGCATTTTAAAATCTGTTGTTTTTTTTCTCTGCATTTTGTTTGGTCTTCCCAATTAACCTGGTTCATTTGAATTTTCTGTTTTGCTCAGATACCAAAAGATTAAAGTCAGATGCTCATCTACAAACTGCCTAACCATCGTCCTTCACTGGTGAGATAAAAGGAAGAAGTCGCAGGAAGAGAGGAACTACACCAGGCTTCAGATTTTGGACTATACAGCAAGACTCTGTAAGATACTTGGGTGTTTTCTCCATTAGTGCTACAATGGAGACACTGTCCCAGGACTCTCTGCTGGAATGTCAGATATGTTTCAATTATTACAGCCCCAGACGGAGGCCCAAGTTGCTGGACTGTAAGCATACCTGCTGTTCTGTTTGCCTTCAGCAGATGAGAACAAGCCAGAAGGACCTGAGATGTCCCTGGTGCCGAGGTATCACTAAACTGCCACCGGGATTTTCTGTATCCCAGCTGCCCGATGACCCAGAGGTGATTGCTGTGATTGCAATTCCCCATACTTCAGAGCACACTCCAGTCTTCATCAAACTTCCTAGCAATGGGTGCTACATGTTGCCCTTGCCCATCTCCAAGGAGAGAGCGCTGTTGCCAGGAGACATTGGCTGTCGCCTCCTGCCAGGTAGTCAGCAAAAGTCAGTCACTGTGATGACAATCCCAGCTGAGCAGCAGCCCCTGCAAGGAGGGATCCCGCAGGAAGTCGGAGAGGAGGAGCAAGACAGGAGGGGCATTGTGAAAAGCTCCACCTGGTCAGGTGTTTGCACTGTGATCTTGGTGGCGTGTGTCTTGGTTTTTCTCCTTGGTATTGTCCTCCACAATATGTCTTGCATTTCCAAGCGTTTCACTGTGATTTCCTGCGGCTGAAAAGGGTCTGCTCCCAGAATACTCCGATGGGATAATTTAGGGATTGGGAAGGTGGTGGTGATGACAGGCTTGACTGAGATGATGCACTGCAACATTGACCAATTACTACAGAACGCTTGACACTAGACAGCTGTTTGACAGTCCGAAGGCAATCCTAAAAGGCGAAATGTGAGACCTCTCAGCAGAGTAAAATCATAATGAGCATCTGATGGTAACAGCATTGAGGAAGACTGCATGCGTCACCATCCTCATTGATCAAATGGACTGTAACTTCTAATGATTTTTATCATGTTATGAGACTAAAGACATCTATTTAGCTGGTTATACTGTAAAAGTATATGATACGATCACTTTGTCTTTAAATGCAGTAGATTAAAATCAAAATGCTATATGTATAAGTAGAATTGAACATGAGAATCAGTGTAAGACTCAGTAAAGATATTCCAGTGCCAGTCCATACATATTCTTTTTAATGGGGGTTGAAGGGGAACTGTATAAAAGAAAATATCATTTAGTTGGTAAGGCTTTTTATATATTTTAAATTGCACATTAATTAAAATAAGTTTGAAAGTTGCATAATAGTTTTTAAAAGGAAACATTTTACAAGCGATTGTATTTCATATGTGATGTGTGTTTTGTCATATACTTTCATTTTGTTTCCACCTGTAGTGAAGTGTCCTTTCCAAGTGTTTTGCTAAAGCAAGATCCAAGCAGAGGAACAGGAAAGTGAAGAAGTAGGGCTACTTAAAAGTGCAGACAAAATTTTGCTGTGTAAGCCCTGTCATGAAGTTTGGCTTTGGCTTTGAAGTGTAAACAGTGGACATGCTGTTTCACCTCTGGTCTGTCAGGCGGGCTTCTCAAGGCTCTGGCCTGCCTGGGGATTAGTGAAGGGATGGGTCATAGAAGTGCTGGACATTCTTCCTGCAAGGACTGGGTAGCAAATTATTTTTTAGAATTTGGGACCAGCCTCGCCTCCATGTTCAGTCATAGTTGTAGCTGTGTCATTATTGACAGTAACTCTATGGATGCCTAGATGACCGAACAGAAATCGAGGTCTCATTGTGCCAAGCATTGTACAAATATCTAGCAAGAGACAGCTCTCATCAGAAAGGGTTCATGCTCTAGATAGATAGGACAGACCAATGATGGAAAACAGGTTGAGAGGGGAAAGGGACTTGCCCAAGGTCACAGATGAGGTCAGTGGCAGAGCTGGGAACAGAACCCAGGCCACTTGACCATGCTGCCTCTCCTAACCCCCTGGAGTCAGACTGGTGTAAAACCTGTGTGAGATCATAATCAGGCCCTGTGCCTCCTTTCAGTAGTATAAACCTTGATTCCTCTTAGGGCCAAATGTGAAACTACCAAGAGAAAATGATATATTTTTTACTGCATGTTGATATTACAAAGCCCATGTGACTGCAGTTCATTGCTCATAAAGGGCCAGATTAGGATACTTATGCTAACACCTCAGTTAATAAGAAGGTTCATCACCTTTTGTGGGACTTCTTGTGGAGTAAGGTATTTAGCATGAGTAAGGGTATCAGAATCTGGCTGAAAGTCTGGATTTGTTTGATTTTTTTTTTTTAAGGGTCAGAGTGGGACTTGTGGCAGAAAAAAACTATTGGTTTGCCTGATTTGTATTGTTAGTATGAAGAATGGACAATTACACAGGTGTAAGCACAGTGAACAATGATCTCTAATCTATTACTAGTATGCTTTCTAATAGTTAATTTGAGATAGTTCAATCCCATGTAATAACACTGGAGAACCTTGTTCCAACTGAGTTAGGCACATGAAAGAAGTCCGTGGTGTTGCACCAGTGCAACTGAGGAAAAATTGGCTCATTATGAACACCATTCTCGTTCGAAAATACAATACAGAGCACATATCTTCCTTTGTGCTAGATTCTCTCCTCTCTCCCTCCCCCCCCATGTCTGTTTTCTAAAGAATGGCATATATAGTTAGTATATGTAAGGTTACACGTGAAGATAAAGCTCCTGGTGCACTGTGCCTGCTTTTATCTACTGTAATTTGCGTGGGCATAACAAAGAAAATACCCCAGAGGTGACACATTTGATACCTCCTTTTTTCCACTAAGAAAAGCACATGCAGAACCATATGCAATATGCAGAGAACCTGGTTTACAAACGCTTGTTATAAACATTCAGCTCCTGGACATCAGTGAACGTGGGGTGTAATAGAAAGGAATATTAATTCCAAACGGATGCGGTATTCAAATTGTTAATCTGCAGCATCGTCTTGTAAGGAAAACTCAATTTCCATCCATGTTACATGTTAGCGTGTAATGGAACTGTAGCCCGCTAATATTTCTGCCTTTATAAGACTCCATGCTAGTGTACAGTTAGAGGACATAGTGCTCTACTGCCTCGCCCCTTGTAATCATCTACCCTCGTGGCACGTGAGGGAGGCGAGGGCGTGACATGCTACTAGATCAGCTACTTGACACCGATTTTGCACTCACTGAGCACAAGTGTAAATGACTAGACAAGGTGCAAGACAGTAGAGTAGAAGGCCCTGAGAGTACAATACTAATAATATTAACATTGGAATGACCATAAAATGCCTAACCGAAGCTCTTGACAAAGCAGGTTCTTTTGATCTTTTCAAATAATGTCTCTCATAAAAGGTGCTGGTTTTCCTTCCCCACATGAAGAGTGTAGTTGGAAGGATAAACCAGAAATTAGGTTAAAATGCTACACCGCATAACACATTACTCAACAGGCAAATATGGGGTTTAATCTGGTATTAATGATGTAGGCATCATCTGACCAGAACGCCATATTGTATTACTTAACACAGTGCATTGTTTTGTTAGTGTGAGTTTCTTGTACTGTTAAGAGCCTGCTGAAATGCATGGCTGACCTAATTTCTGATTCCGACATTTGCCTGTTTTACAGTCTTTGTGTGAGTGCAATAAATAAAACCTCAAGATTTTTTGTGGGTTAGCGCCTATTCAAAAATATAATTTTATGGGGGAAGATTCTTCTTTGCTTTAGGCGGTGCGACTCATTTAAATTTTGCAACCTTCATATCATGTTAGATCACATAGCTTTATGCTGATGAGCTGTAGTATATTGCAATAGACAGTGTTAGACCATTTCTCAATTAGGTTAATATTCATACTTTAAAATGCAGTGTGCTCTATTCCATTTTATATTCCTCAGTCCCATACTTGGCATTCAGAAAGGAGACAGCTATCTATGGCTATAACTTTGCAAAACGTGCTAGAAAAATTATTCCCAGGAAAAACATTTAAACTCACATAATATCCCTCTTCTGCACCAATTTCATGCCCAAATGATCAGCTCCTGGGTAGGTTCTTAATCCTTGTATATCAGCAACTCTTTTGATCACTACTCAGTTCTTGAAAAAGGAAGACAAACTTTTATTTTTTTATGGCATAAGTACTAGCTGAGCAAACATTATTTATACTAAATACTATACTATTTATATAGTATATATTTATACTAATCTTGTCTGAAGTTATTTATGCACCTACATTTTTGAACAAATACCCTTTATGAAGGTGTATTATTTGTTTGTTTAACAGAGAGTACAGCTTCTTTTATTTTAAAGGTCTCAGCTTCAGTTTTTAGCTTGTGCTTTGCTGGGAGACAGAAATAGGGTACACTTTGTGAAAGTTTGTTCAGTGAATTTTACAAATTCAAAATAAGCAATTTTGGTATGTGCGATTTTTTAGAAAATTGTGTATTAAGTGTTTGTGCTTAAATGATATGGAAAAAGCATGGGTGGTTTTGTAAACAGGGAGCCTAAAGTTTCATCTTTATTAATGAAGGTTGGTACGAATAAAATATTAGCAGGAATAGAATGAATACATCAAGTGAATTATGGTTTCTCTAGTCCTTCACCTTAAAATGAACAGCACAGTGAGTACTCAGTGGAATTATTCTGTATTTACACTGGTGTAACCAAAGCTAGCATTTGGCTGCCTTCCTCAAGACAAATTTTTAAAGTATGGGCTGTGGCACATTTTCAAAATGTGTGTGTGTGTGTGTGTGTTGGGGGGTAGTGGTTTTGTTGTTGTTGTTAAATAGTTGATTTTTGAGTAGAAATTACATCTGATGACCACAGAGCTACAAAGATTTTCTCTTCTGGTTCAAGTGATTTCAAATTTGTGAGTGAATTTACTCCTTACACAAGTGAGATATTACTGGCATTAGCCTGAGCATGTATTGTTCAGGTATGTGTCACTTCCCCGCCAAAAAAAGATCATGCCAGTGCTCCTTAATCCAGATCAGCCAACCCCCATCCCCTGCTAGTATTACAGGCATGAGGCTTTTACTGAATGGAGATTATACATGTAACAAATTCACAGCAAAATAAGCAAACAGGGTGAGGATGAGACCAAACAGTTTATTTTCACTTGTGACTGATACATGATTTGAATCTACTTTATCTTGATTTTTGTGTGTGTGTGTGTGTGTGTGTGTGTGTGTTAATACCTATTGCACTAAGGTAACATTGTGACCTGTTCCTCAGTGATTGGCCAGAATCAAAAATCCCAGATCTAAACACACTTCTGTGAATTCAAGCTGTATTACAACACAGTCATTCGTACAGAAGACATCCATATGTCTAGTAAATATAGTTAGTCTAATGCTGGCTTTAAAATGTTTCCTCTTGCCAGCTGCCCAGGGCATGTGGGTTTAAATTTGGGGTTTTCTTTCTTTTGTGGGGGAATGCATGATGACAAATGAATCCAAACATCACCCAGGAGGCTATAAGAAGGATTTATATACAGTTAAAGCAAAGACCTTTATGTTTGAGTATTTAGCAGGGCAAGATTCTACTGGAATGCTGCAATGGAATTACATCATATTAATGATCTTTCCTTTCCTTTACACTGTCCTTAGACCTGACAGCTGGGATTGTTCTTCTTTCTTTCTGTCACTTTAACATTTTGCATGCCAGTATTGACCCAACGCAAACTACACAGCTTGTTTCACGCTTCGGAACGTTAGCTGCCATTTCTCAACCTGCCCTTAGCATCTTTAGCAAATGAGCACTTACGTGTTGTCTAAGCAGTTGAAATTTGAAGCCCCGTAAATGTCCAGGGAATGCATTTTTACAGCATTCAATTAATGCTTCAGTAAATATCTCTTTATTTTAGATCTAAACATTAGCTAAATTTTCACTAAGTATTTTCCCAAATACCAGAAGCAGACATTAGGGAGGATTCACAGCTGGAAGAAACTATTTATACTAAACCCATAGCACTCACACAGCAAGGCTCAGAAGATTATCTCTGTTACCTAGGATTGAGTAGATTATAAATAACCAAGAATGGACGAATGCTATATGGTTATATTGGGGGTGTCGTACCCCCTGAGGCAGCTTCTTCATTGTGGAGGAGTCCACACATTTTCCTCAGTTCCTTGTGATAAGCTGCCTCTTAACCTGTGCCCTGGCTGCTGCCCCCTCAACTGCCCCTCTCCCCAAACACTGTAGTTCCTGGATCCTGTTGGGACTGCCCTCCTGGTGTTCAGGTGAGGAGCCTCTGAACTGCTGCTTGCCTGGGCACTGTACAGAGGCTTCTACCTGAGGTGGGATGAGAAGCCCTGAAATGAGCAGGGCTGGAAGGTTGGATTTGAGAGTTATTAGGGGTTCGTCAAATGAGCAAGAGGAAAGGGTATTTGGGCCTGGATAGAGGCTCATGAAATTAGCAGGGAGCTGGAAGTGTCATGCATTGAACTGATTGGGATGAAGAGATGTGGAGGCGGGGCAAAATTGAATGGAGGGATGATTAGGCTTATGCTCAAATAAATTGGTTAGTCTCTAAGGTGCCACAAGTACTCCTTTTCTTTTTGCGAATACAGACTAACACGGCTGTTACTCTGAAACCTTAGAACTGGGTATTTGCAGTGAGTGGAGACATTTATCAGGCAAATTTGAGAAGAATTAGATTAGTTATTTCTGATGCCTGGGAGTTGGATGGTTTGTTATAACATAGCTCAAGAGTGGCTTGGCCAGGCAACTTGAAATTTTGGTTAATTCAGATCTTGGACCCCTTTGAGTTTTGAGGCTGAGTATTTTGGAAGTTAAGTTTTCTGCCTAATTAAGAAACTTGCAAAGTGCATGGGCTGTTCTAAGGTTCTGCCCTTAAATCCTGGGAATAGCATGAGTTACAAGCATGCTTCTATTGAAGGCCAAAGGTATGGAAAGGAGATGGTCATATCCCAGTGCAAAAATAAACGTCACTGACAAAATTGGCAAGAAAAGCCCAGAAAAGCTCCACAAAGCTCTTTAGGCATTCCATGTTAATGTCACTGTCACGCCTGTTTGATTTAAGAAGTTGTTTAGTTGAAGACAAAGGCAGTATTGCTGTACTTCACATTTGTATGTAAGAAAAAATTAGGGTGATATAAGAGGGTTGGGTTTTTCTGTTTTGTTTTTCAATTTGATGTAAATAAGGCAATTGGGAAAGTCGAGTAGTTACTTGCCCAAGAGTATTTACCTGCCTATTTTAAGAATTATAAAGCGTGTCTTATGTCATTGCATCAGTCTTGAAAATTTCCATCACCTATCTGCAGTTGCATGCACTGAATGGTTCTGAATTTCTGGGGTGGGACCCATTAAAGAGGGATCTGAGTCTTGATCAATATCTGAGAACTTGTCCAACTTGTTAGGTTGCTTGACTTCAGATTCAAATTTCACTTCTCAGTTCCAAATCTAAGTTGTATGTAGTCCCTAAAGAATTGGAAATTCATTGTCCTATTACTATGAATAACTAGATTCTGTTTATTTCATATCTCTGAGATCATGGGTCAGTTTTCAGTAACATACAAATGTTGTAGCTAGTCCTTTTACCTCTGTTGATGGAATAAATGTGATAAATTATTATTTTTTGGGGGAGAAAGTTTGTGGTTCCACTCCAGAGAAAGATGATATGGAATTTAAGAAAGTGGAGCTGATAGGTTGATGTTAGTTCATTTTAAAAATCAACTTGTCCCATAGTAGTAAGGCTCCAATTTCCACTACGGGAAAGGAATGCCCAGTTCTCAAAGCATCTGAGCCAATCTACCTGCTGAACTGCTTATGTATAGTTTCACATTTAAATAATTTGGTATAATGGACATGAATGCTTCTCAACTTCTAAAATTTGCTTAAGAAATCTATTTCTTTAAACAGTTGGGCTCTGAGTCAGGAAAACATCCCTACCTGAGAAGCTCTTATGCATTGAGTTAAGCCAGTCAAATGGATTTAGGGACATGCTTAAAATTCAGTACATGCGTTAGTGCTTTCTGCATAGGGATGGATTTAAGCATGGGCTTAGGTGCTTTCTTGAATCATGCTCAGTCTTTTGAATGATTTTCAAAAGCATATGAAAAGTAGCTTTGCCTTGAAGAAACTTTATTTTGCAACTTAAAAGTAGGATTAACAGGCAGATGCTTTTGTGACTGTAAATCCCATAGTACAGCTGTTTTTGAGTAGAACTAGTTGGAAATTTTCTGATCAGACATTTTTCTACCAGAAAATGCTGATTCGTCAAAATTAAAATGTTTTTCAGGAACCTGTCCATTGGTTTCCGTCCAGCTTGCCTGCTTCATGAGCTGCTGCAAAACCAGGACTCTGATAGCCTGTTTTTTAGGCTTCCCCAGCTTCTTGACAGCCTGCTCTGGGCAGCTTAGGGAACCTCACCAATTTTGTTTTGAGTAAGTCCAGATAGAATTTTTGATTTTTTTTTTACACTAAAATCTCAGACTCCCCTGGATTCCATGGAAAACTTTGAAATTGTGAGTTTTTGTTCTGATGCAGAACAGAATTTTAAAAAATGATTTTTTGGGGTTTTCCCATCAAATGGGAATTCTGGGTTCCAACCAGCACTATTTTCAAACCTTTGAATATAGAAGCTTGTACTAACATACCTAAAGATTTTTTAATTTCCTATAAGTTCTATTTTTAATTGCCCACTATTCGCATCCTGTAGAGCAGTGGTTCTCAAAGCCGGTCCGCTGCTTGTTCAGGGAAAGCCCCTGGCGGGCCGGACCGGTTTGTTTACCTGCCGCGTTGGCCGATGGTGGCTCCAGGCCAACGGGGGCTGCGGGAAGGGCAGCCAGCACATCCATTCGCCCGCGCCGCTTCCCGCAGCCCCCATTGGCTTGGAGCGGCGAACCGTAGCCAGTGGGAGCCGCGATCGGCCGAACTTGCAGACACGGCAGGTAAACAAGTCAGTCTGGCCCGGCAGGGGCCTTCCCTGAACAAGCGGCGGACCGACTTTGAGAACCACTGCTGTAGAACGCTCAACTCACAGAAAAATCTTAAGTAAGAAAAATAACAAAACTCTGGAGATTCTAATGACCTTTTCCTGCTGAGATGAGCTAAGGCACTTACTAAACCTATAGGTTGATATAGCTGAGTCTCCGCTTAATGCTGGTAGTTGCTAAACTAGTTAACTACACTGAAGCTGCAAGTTTTTTGTTTTTTCCCATTTGGGTTAGACAAGACAAGACAGGCCTGCTGCATGTCTGGATTTAGCAGGGAGATAAGGGCTGTAAAATGTGACCACTAGTAATATTGTGGTATACAAATTATTGCAACATTTAGTGTCTTTGGTCAGTCACCCAGGCAGGTCAAGTATCTTGTGGAATATTGCCAAGATTAACAGATAATTTAAAAACAAAACAAAACAACCAGATACTGTCTGTATTTGTTGCTAGTGATGTTTGATCCATTTGACTTTTTTTTTGGTTTGGGTCCTTCTGATTGTATCTTTCACAATAGAAACAGCACGCACAAAAATATTCTTCCTCATTACATGAATGCAGTCTCCTTTCTCCTTTTCTGACCTGTGTTTAGGCCCTGGATTTCTTTGTAAATTTGCCTCTCTGATGATAAATTACTCATAAATAAGTGCCACACCTTTATGCTGCAGCATTCTGAATGATAATAAGGCTAACCAGTGGAAGCAATGTACTACAGAACATGGAACCTCACCAACACACTTAAAAAGTTGTATTTTTTATCAGTCTGCTATTTCCATCACCAGTCCCATCATCTATTTAAATGGATAAATTGCAGTATTTCACCCTTGAAATGACCCTGATTTTTCTAAAAACAAACAAAAAGAAAACAAGATATTATTTTCACATTTGGTTTTTCAAAAGTAAGATAGTATAGGAACTGTAATTTGAAAACGAACTGAATTTTTTTAAAGCTAGTGCATCAGTGGTAAAAGTGTTGTAATTTTAAATTTTGTTGGGGGGTAAACAAATAGAAATTCATGATTTGGATTTTCAGTCTGTCGCGGGGTGGCTACCCTGCTCCTAAAATAGAAGGGATTAAAAGCAGCCCTGGAGAGGGCTGTGGTTGGGGGTGGCTGATTGGGGAAGCAGCCACAGCTGGGCCACACCCCAGTTAGGCCCTAGCTGGCCTGTATAAAAAGGCTGTGAGCCAGTGACCAAAGGAGTCTTTCCCTGGGGTAGGAGAGAGCAGGGTCTGTCTGGGTACTGGGAATGAAGCAGGGCTGGGGAAGGAGCAGGCTGAGCGGGGTGCTCCAGGCTGGCAACTTCCCAAGCTGTAAGGCCTGCTCCAAGGCCCATAGAGGTACTGGGAGGCAGAGGAAGGCAACAGGTCCAAACCCCCTTGCTTATGATGAGTGCTCTTTACACTGCAGTCTGCCCCAGGGAGCGGGGGCTTGGTGATGACTGGCAGTGGCCCAGATGGAGGCAAGGTGGGGATAGTGAGTTGAGGGTTCCCTAGGAAGGGGAGAGCCAGAGGCAGAGTGTGAGGGGAATGCCAGGGGGCAGAACCCCAGAGAAAGGGGCACAGGGGTCTGTGAGGGACATGGGGGCCAGAGTTTTGTGGATCACTGGCCTGTAGAGGGCACTCCAGGCTGGAAAAGAGCTAATTCCCAATGACCAGCAGGAGGTGCTGCAGGGGTGAGTCTGCTCCTGTACCCACTCCTTGATGAGTTTCAGGTGTACATGTGAGCTTCTGTTTGCAGTACATCATAAATACTGTAACAGCTGGAAACTGTGACACCAAAAATCTTAATAAAATTTCCAATGTTGCCAATTAAATTTAAAATGCTTATTGAAAGGTAGGAAAGTTTTTTATGGCACAGGACAACTTAGCTTTTATTGTCTTTAAGCCTTTGTAGTGATTTTTGTGGTGTTAGTCCTGAGTCTCACCTGTGTAACAACAGCAATCAGGCCTTTTGCTTCATTAAGCCATTTGATTGGCTCAGCTAATGAGAATCTATATGCTGTGTAATGTATGTAAAGGTAGCTATCATTTTATAAATCTTTATCGATAGATGGCTACTCATTGCAGATCAGCCAGGTTTGTGAATAAATTCCTTGTCTCTTGAAAAGACTGTTAAATCTTTGCTTCAGTTTAGTGACCTGGATTTTGCCTGAGGAAAGGACATTTTATATAAATGACTTTATACTTGGACACTCAGGACCATGAACCAAGTTAAATTGATTTAAGACCATTTAAATTCCAAATGAGTGTCCACACAGGGGTTTAATGCAATTCATCCTATCCCTTTTAAATTAACACCCATAGTTAAATAGGATTAATTTTCCTGAGTGTCCCTGTGTAGATGAGCCTTAATTCACTTCTACAGGATTTGGCTCAACTGGACTTTTTACCTGTGTGTGTGGGGGGAGGACAAAAAAAAACAAAACAGGATTTGGCCCATTGTGCTGAAATGAAGTATGAACTTTCTTACTACAATTTTTCCTTCTCTCTAGAATCAATCAATCTGTAAGGACATACTATAGGTTCTACCATAGCTGGGATAGTCAAATACATCTGTGATAACATTTTTGCAGTCTTATGCTTTGTTGCCTAGTGGTTACCATAAAAATTATTCCAGGGATGAACTTAAGAGAAATGTGAGATCCTTGCCATAAGCTTCCTCTTCCAGGTTTTCAAGTAGTTAGACCTATTCCTGATACCTTGATATTCCAAGAAATGAGGGACTGCTTTCCTTTATACATCTTCATGTGACATGGAAAAAGTAGCCCAGAAATAGGCAGAATACCTGTCAAATGCTGCTGCTTTTTCTGAGCAGTCTCAGGTTATTGTGCCGCTTACATAATGTTTTGTGGTGGCTTCTAACCCCCTCCCCTTTTCCCCTCCTTGATTTAACTCGTTTTCTTCTTCGATGTCCAACAAGAGATACAAAGAAGAGTAAAGCTGTTAATGCAGGTCATGTTTGCACCATCTGCTCTATGGCTATTTAAATATTGTCACAGGAAAGCAGTGGTTGCCCTGTTTTTCATCTGTGCTTCAAATGAGTGCCAGCAGGGTTCCTGTTGCAGAAACTAAACCTGACTGGCATGCGTGTGTGTTAAGCCCTGGAAGTCAAGTGATGAGATCAGCAAGTACTCCACATCTGCAGGAAAACTCAAAGGGAGCAGCTGTGGGATCCAGCCAGGTGACTCCCCTACATACAAGAGCTGACCTTTCCAAGGGACAATCAAAAGAGAAGCCAGTAGTCTACCAGGGTGTATGGGAAGCACATTGAAAAGAGTAATGATGGAGTCAGTTCACATAGATATGTTCTCTAGGGAAGTCAATTGTCAGCATTCCAACATTAGTCCAAGTAACTTGCAATTGATTTCAGATCCTATTGCTTCAGCTACTCTGTTGCTAATAGCTCCAGCCTCCAAGAGTGTTTGAAGCAAACTGTAAACTAAGTGGTCTCAGAAATCCAGTAGTCCTGGCTGGCGTTCCTTTGCATTTTGAACTAACCTTATTAGCAAAGGTTGGTGTATTGGCAAATTCCTCAGGAAGAAGTGAGGATACTTGTCCTGATCAGTACAGACAAGTTTCAGGAGCTGTAAACAAAACAATCCAGCATCATCATGACAGCTGAAGTACCTCTCAGTGCCAGTACAAAGACTTCTAAGTCTTTAGACTGGCCGTGATATATAATAATACGGTGTGTATACACATTTTTGTAAAGACAAATGTGCTTGGTTTCAATTAAAATCAAAGTAAGAAGCCTCATTCAGTTATATTTTGCAACTCCTTTATTTCTTATCCCTACCCCCTCCAATACATTTTCAAATCACTTTCAGTCTTGTTAATTGGTCCATGAGATGTTGTGAAGGTTGATTTTAGCCTGGAGGCACCCAGGGTATTGCCATGGCTCCTCTATAACTGCAGCACCAGCTTCTCTCCTTGTATTATGCTAAGTAGGTATGTTCCCTTGCCCTTTCCAACTCTCTCTCCCCACCTCCCCCTGTAGGTTAATAATAATCTAATCAAATGGTAGGTTGATATTGCTCAGTAGTTAAAGTCCTTGACACAGTTCATTTGCAATAATGTGTATAATTTAGCTCAAACTTTGTTTTAAAGGGCTAAATAGCCCTTCGGATATGAGCTGTAGGTCTGTCTCGTCAAAATTCTGCCAAATATTGACTTTTCAAAGGGGATATCAAGCTGCTGAATGTTTTAAAAACCATTCTTTCCTTGCTCCTCCTGTCCTAGATGGTGTCTAGAAAGTCCATCAAGTTTTGGTTTTCCCCCACTGGCCCCAATTTTAATATATGGTATTTTTGTATGTTGACCTCTGGCGTCTTGTCCTTTGTATATGTGGAAATGTTGAGAACAGCTCTGACACATTTGGTATGATTAAAGTTCTTTAAAATGATTTTGAATAGACTGGGGCATGTGTGTGTTCTTAAATAATAATAAAAAAAAATTGGCCAGGATTCTCACTCATTAGTTTCACTGAGCATTTTAATACCTTTGTGGAGTAATAAAAGAACTATGATCCTCAGCCAAGTTTTATGTATGTGGAGGTGACTTTCAAGTGGACCATCAGATAGGCCAAAGAAAGCCTTCTTTATGCATTAGTAAAAGAAAGATATGGAAGTCTCTCCAACAAAGTGCAATTCCAGTTCCTTTGCCTTTCATGGGTAACCTCCATGCAACTGCTAAGTGCTACCTAATCCATATTTGATTCAGGTGCAAATGCCAGAACTCCCGACCACGTAGAAGGAGTCTCTTCATATTACACATTCATTCACTATACATTTTTGAAAGTAGTGGATCCTCTCAGTTGGTGTAAATGGGGATAACTCCAGTGACTTCAGGGCAGCTCTGCCAATATACAACAGCTGAGGAGCTGGCCCAAAATGTATAGAAAAGCATCGTAGAGATTTGAAAAGTTCCTAAATTTCAAATGAGTGAGATTGCAGTAGATAAGAACAAAAATGATTTTTTTAACTCATTTGCAACATTAATCCACCCCCCTCCCATTTGGCATTTTTATGTAGACACCAGCTGCAATTCCATAGTTAAGGATGAGATGAGTTTTGCTTTCATCTACAGAGGTTGAATTGCTGCTGTAACGCTGTCATGACAGCTTTTGTGTGTCACTTTGCATTCAGCAACTTCACATAATTAAACATGGCTTGCCCAATCTAATACGATGTATCAAACAGAAAACGTAAATCTCTAGGAAAATTGTGAAGGAAAAGTAACCTTTTGAAGAGTGTTAAGAAGGGAAGCTTTGCTACCAAAGCAAATGGGCTCCAATGAGCTGTCACTCATGCCTGATTGGTAGGTAGGAAGCATTCCTTTTCCTGTGCAATCAATGGATGGGATATGGGGCATTTGGAAGCTAAAACTTTTTAATTATTGCAAATTCTGGAACACTAAACTAAAAACATATTTTGACCTTCCCCCTGCTACAGTCAAGCTAAGTTAAAACACAACCTCAGTGCTTCCATCACATTATTTTTAATATATCTCTGCTGAAAAGAAATTTCTCTGACAGGAGACTCAGGGCCCATTACCACTGTGATATTTGACCTAGACACACATGGCTTGATTCTGAACTCGCTTACATTGGCATAAATCAGAAAAAGTTCCACTACAGTGAATGGAATTTGGTGTAAATCTAGCATCAGTGAGATTTGCTTCAGGCTCATGACCGTGATATACTGTATTAATGTGGAGAAGCCTTTTGTACTGCATCATGCCAAAATTCATACTCCAAATTGTGCTGGCAAGGTACAAATGCATAGTGAGACACAATCCCTTCCCCCAGAAGTTACAATCTAAATAGACAAAAGGGTAGGAAGAGAAACTGATGCGTACAGAGGTGAAATGACTTGCCTGCCATCACCTAGGAGGTCACTGTCAGAGGTGGGAAGAGAATCCAGGTGTTCTGGTTCTCACTTCAGGGGCCTGCCCACTAGATCATGCTGCCTCTCTGTCAAATTATTGAATTGAATGAAATAAGGTATAACCATATAATCAATTGAAAAGAGAATCCAGGTCCTAGGCAAATAAAATGCAACAAGTATAGATAAATGAAAGGCCAGTGAAAACAATCGACTAGGTAAGAAAACGAAATGGGTCTTTGTTATAGGTCTGAATTTTTCTCAGTTGCCCAAGTGTAAGTCAGGAGTATCTTCACTGAAGGAAGTGGAGTTATTGCTGTGTGCTGGATTGGTGTGAAATTGTGGTGGAGCTCAAGGTTGTAAAAGGTATGGCATTTCAACTGCAGCACTTTACCTCTCTAGGTTCCAGTTGAACACATGATTAAGGGATGGATTTTCAAAGGTATCTGGGCTCCTAAAAATGCAAATAAACACCTAATTGGATTCACAAAAAGCACCTAAACAGGTTAGGTGCTTTTGTAAATCCCAGTAAACTCATATTTGCATCTTTACATGCCTAAATGCCTTGCAAATCTGCCCCAAAGTGCACAGCCGTCCATTAACTGGCTCACAAAAACCTGAGTGAATGTCTTTTGAAAGGCACTTGCTGGTGATTTGCAGTGTCAACACATCCAGAATGAAAACACTGGGGTCTGGATTCCAGAATTCTTACTCAGGATGAGTTGTGCCTTGCCACATGAGTCATCCCATTGATTTGGGATAGTAAGTACTAGTCAGCATGAGCAAGGGCCTCAGAACTAGGCCCTAAGTGAGTGGCAATGCAGAGGTTTCAGAGCTGCTGAGCACCAGCTTCTCCCATAGACTTCAGATGGAGTTGTGGCGTTGGAACCACCTTTGCAAGTCAGGCCCCCAAGTGAATTTCCAGTGAGTTAAGTGGTCCAGCCAATCACTGTTTTCATCATGAGTAAATTCGTCGCTGTGGCCACATTGATAGCTTTTCAAAAGTTTCTCTTCCTACGGATTTGGAAGGAGTGATCTACTCCCAGCTGTCTACTGTATTATCTACTGAATGCTTAAGCCTTACCCAAATGGGTGAATTGCTTTGTGTATTAATAACTGAGCATGCTTCCTCATGCTGCCCATTGTTCCTCGCTTCCTATGCTGGATGATTTTTTTTTTTTAAATGTCCTTAGAGAAGTGTCTGCTTCTCATTTCACTTGAGTTTCTGTTTTGCTGTTTGTTACTGATGTTGGGGAGATTTGTCCAGGCTCCTTTGAATGTTGATGCTTGCAAACTGCCTTTGTGGTAGACGCATTAGGATTGCAATGTTTTGTTGATATTTTAGGCTCAGCAGTCACTGTTTTAATCTTTTTGTTCCTGTGAGATATTCTCTACAGTGCCAGAAGGGGGGCGGGGAGAGGCACACTGCACAGTTTAGTTGCATAGCTGCGAACAGGCTGGGATGATTGCAAGAGAGAACATAAAACAGATTTGCTTTAGTGTCGATATTATTCAAATGGGATCCCTGGGCTGGTTTTAGATATCATGCATTATTGCTTACATGATGATGATCAGAGGTTATTTAGTTTTAGAGTCTGTGGTTGCTTCTCTCCCTCTCCTGTTACATGTTAGTGCTGTCCAACAATTGTGAGAGAACTAATTTATGTGTCTGTGATGGTGTGTGTGGATGGGGGATTGATTACAAACCAGAATGGACCAAATTAATCACTGTGAGTAACTTCCTTGTGAGTAAAATGGTGGTATTATTCCAAGCATGACTATTCCCAAATATATCTGCCATATTTGGCAGTGTTAGTGGATGTTCTGCTCACATACAATACAGTAACACTTCTTTGCTATCTTTTACCTAGAGTTGAGGATATCAAAACTTTCAACAGACACGGATGAATTCAAGCCTTACAACACCCTTATGAGATAAGTAAGACTATAACCATTTTGCAGCTTGGGAATCTGGGATGGAAAATTCAGCTAAAAATTCTCTAAGGTTACACTTTTCAGAGCGGTAGCCATGTTAGTCTGTATCAGCAAAAAGAATGAGGAGGACTTGTGGCACCTTAGAGACTAACACATTTATTTGGGCATAAGCTTTCGTGGGCTAAAACCCACTTCATCGGATGCATGCAGTGGAAAATACAGTAGGAAGATGTATATACACAGAACGTGAGAAAATGCGTGTTGCCATACACACTATAACAAGACTAATCAATTAAGCTGGGCTATTATCAGCAGGAGGGAAAAAAAACTTTATCTGGGAGGACCAGAAGCCCATATCTACATGGAATGAAGCCCCCCAAATCCCAGCTCTTCGTTCCAACCACTAGAGCGCATGGCCCTTCCTTCTTCTGAAGGTTAGAAGTAAATCCAGAAACACACTGATTTAGAATGTTTGCAAGAATAAAAATCATAGGTGATTTTATTCATTACTACAACTATTTGTTTTACACAAACAGGTCCCATGATGCCCTTCAGCAAAGTAGTGTGTCCTGACTAATTAATGGATTGCAGGTGCAGACTAGAACATTAATGGCAACAATATATCACTTTTAACTGGTTGTAGTCACTTCTACTAATAAGAATGGAGCAACTGGCAGATTGCTGTGTAGCCGATAAGCATATGGTGGTGGATAAATCATTTAAGGCCCAATTCTGCCACCCTCATTCATACTGAACAGGTTGCTGTATAAGGAGATCTATTTAAACCACTGAAACTAATTACAGAGTAAAACACAACTTGGCACAAGCGTGACTGAACTGGGCCATTTGTTAGTGGATTAATACATGATGCCAAGCTCTTATCTAAAATTAAGCATTTTATACCATTAATACCCTGAGATTATGGTTTCCAAATAATTGCCCATTTCTTTCTTCTGTTTTCTGTGTGTTTGTATTCAAATATTGATAAAAAGGAAATTTAAACAGGGAGGGATAAGGTCTGAGTAACATAGTACAATAAAAGCAAACTGGATGGAGTTCAACACTTAAGTCGTTAAGCTATTATTGTCTTCAGTGAGGCTAGAAGTATTAACATATCAAGGCAAAAAAGCAAATTTGCAATGGCTTAGTTTGGAATTACCTTTCCAGGGGAAACTAGAACAAGAAAAACATGTTATGAAGCAAACACAACTCTTTAAACTAAACAACCCCGGGGACAATTTAAAGGGACCTGTTGAAATTTTAAAAATTGGACCAGATCATCAGCTGATGTAAATCAGTGTAGCTCTTAAAAAAAAAAAAAAAATTCAACAATCAGTTCCTTGCATAGGGGACACCACTGTCGTAGCACACTGAAACTGTCTTGGATTAAAGCATTCCCCATTGTTGGGGTGGCAGCTCTCTATTCTTCTGCCTCGGCATCTCCCCTCAGCCTTCATCCTACTCTGTCAGTACTGAATATCTGCACCTCTTGACTAATGCCACCTTGAGCCTAGTCCTGTCTCTTAATTCCTCCACCAGCACTGTTTTGGCTCCCTACAGTTCACCCTTTCTTTAACTTCCCTCCCCCATGGCC